TTTTTTTTTTAGTAAACGCAAAAACATATTTTTAATATTCGAATGAAATTCTTCAATCTAAAATTGACGGAAGAAAGAGAAACGAGAAAACTCGTCGACTTGAATTGCAAATTTTAGACTAAGGAACGCTTATTTTAAGCGTTTCGACAATTCAGGCAACAAATTAATAAAAGTTTTGCTTTACATTACACACTAATTTGAAAAATTTGTCGAGTAGAAAATGAGATCAAGGAAATTAATTAAATTGACATCGCCGGCCAACTCAACTAACTTAATCGATCTCATAGAATTAACCTGTTTATTTATAATCCGGTCCGAAGCTGTCGTGACAAATTGAAACAATTAACCGGAGTCCAGAATAATATTCATAGCACTGATGTTTTAACAACGTGGTCGTCCTCGCGACGGCGCGACTTAAAACAAGCTATCATTGACCAAATGCTTTTTCCACCGGATTAAATCATCATCGATCGAGGGTACAGACAAACGCGAATCGATTATCGTGTAATTACGGTTAATTGGATCAAGACCTCCGCGAAGCAGGCATCATTTGCGTCCGATTGTCACGCGGAAGAGTGATCCAAGATTTCCAGGCCATGCGAGAAGGCGAGCAGAAACACCTTGTACTCTGATTTCGTACAAAGGAAAACAAGCTGCTCCGTTTGTCACTTTAATTGCAGACTTTGGATTTCAAACGACCTAATTAGTCGAGAATTGGAAATCGGACGGTGTCACGCCATCGATCAATCGAAATAACTAGTCACTTGAAAGACGCGAAAATGGGACCAGGTTTTCAATTCGTCTGCTTCGAATTGAAATTAACTCGAAGGTAGTCCATTCACTGTAACGAACTGCCCAGATGCCAAAGACAGTGGTAGAACGGATTCAAGATCGAGAATACAATTGAACTACGATCGACCATGAACCGCACTGGTTTTCTTGGTCCTTGATCCGTCAGATTCGTCTCGGTTTAATTTATAGGAACGTTCTTTGGTGTTCCGGGACCGTGACGCGTCACGTTCAGGATTTGCAACCTGAATAAACCTTATTCCGTACCAGTTACGAATCGTACGATGATTCAGAGAACGCCAACACCTTTGTGTTTGCGTCAATAAGTCTGACCAAGAATCGCATCATATTTATTTCAATAATTTCTAGTACAAAAAAATTGCATTGAAAATGCATCAATGGATAGACGCTTCGAGGCTTTGAAATGCTCTTTTTCAAAAGTGTAATATTTTACGATAAACTACACGAAGAAATATATTAGGGCTACCCATAAGTAATAAGTCGTTTTCTTCAAATTTAATAAACGTTGCCATCTAGCGACAATAATTTAACTCATTATAACATAACCTAAATTCTACTTAAATATATTGATAATACATTTATTGTGCTTATTGTTAAATTACATTACAGATTAAAACTGTATTGATTTTTTTAAATAAAATAAAACTTTGTACAATATCAAAAAAAAACGACGTTGCTTATAGGTGCTCCTGATATTAACGTGTGAACGAGGCGCGACATTAAGTTCACGAAATTCGCCGAGTTCTCGCATCACTGCCGGAAGTGATCGTTTCGTGGGCTTCCGTTGCATACGAATTCAGCTCACGGACATTCGATGAGCGTGACGCAGCGAGTAAATTGCCAGTCTGTTACTCGGAAGGCGGTGCAGCCCACCGAAGACGCAATTAGCAATACGAATGTACCTTTTATGAGGTCGCCGCGTCGCCTTCGCGCCACGAGCTCGTTAGTCCATTTTCATTATCCTTCGTGCCTCTTCCAGGAAAGCTTTCGATCTCTCCTTAACCTTCGACATTTATTTTTTTCGTTCGCACTACAATGATTTCACTGCGACGAGAGACCTCGTCAGCATATTCATTGCTCCCTTCTTTCGAAACCAATGAACTTTATGCGTGATGAACGATCAATAATTGACGATTACATCTGAAGTAAAAATTATATCTTAATTTCTTTTTTAAGCTCAGTTCTTTTCGTTCATCGCAGGACAACCTCTCTCTTATTATTATTATTTTTTTTTTTTTTTTGACTGAATAAAAAAATTTACAGAGATATTCGTTGCATGCGAGAAAAATTAACAAAAAGCAATACCTTGTGAAAGAAGAAAGAAGAATCGAATTTGATGTTAGATTCAGTGGTTATATTTGGATTATTCTATTATTGGAAGAGGGACGATCCCAGCGTATCAATCTAATTGTCGGAAACGACTTCGAGGAAAAGTTGCTAGATGAAAATTTTTAAACTGAGTCTTTGGAATAAAACGAATATCGTTTAGTAGCTTTTCAATTAATTCTAAAGTCACTGTATGATTAAACGAAATTTCTAATCTTAAGAAGTGACGTCGACTCACGGATAAGTAAATCGAGCTAGCTAGAAGCTGAACTGAATTAACCTGATTCTCGGCTGTTATACGACCATGTTTTCATATCCCGCGAACCACGTGCGTTCACAATAACCCGTTGACTTTCTAAGCAATCGGAATCTCGGTTCGTATCCATAATGCGAACGAAAAATCCATGATTGTTATGCATTTTTAACAAACTCAATGTTCTCGAAACCTGTAGGAAGTAAATAAAAAATTACTCGCAAATGTTCATCAACATTATGTTTATGGTTCATGCAAATTGCGAGGCAGATCGTAAAAAATTGCGAAAAATAGTGAGCACCAAACCAACTGCTATAAACAAACTTATATAAATCTGACCTCACTTTGGGATGAGAGTTATTTTGTACGTATTCGATCATGCGTATGTTACATCTCATGTATATTACAAACTTGTCTGTGTGTAGAAAATTTCATCTGATTACGAACACGTTGTTTCCTCATTACTTTCCTATTGCTTTCTTCTTTTCATTTCAATATTAGGAAGTACTAATACTAAAATTCATGACTCACTTTAATTCACTTAAAAACACGTTTAAATTGTTTTCGCAATGGAACAGAATTTTCGCAAGGAAGTTACTAAAAGAATTACTAATGGCCAACGACCAAAAACGAAACTAATGCAACGCACTGACGCTTCGTGTTGCAGAAATTTCACCGTATTCAACCGTTACGGCGATATAATCTGCTCAAGAAAATCGAGAGACCGACGTCAGCCGTCAAAAATTTGTGTAACCGCGAATTCCATTAGACATGCGTTCTAGCTCTGATTGCACGATTACGAAAGACGCGCAGCAGATCGTTGCAATGAAAGTCTACGGACGATTACCTGCAATTTCACGTTCCGACAAATGAATACCCTGTCAACGTTAACGAGTTCATGATTTCGTATAATCTGCGGCGCGAATAGTAACTGTAATGGATATTTACATAGTTTCATACTGCAGACAATTTGAAAGTGGCGATACAAGCGCGGGTACTTTACTTAGCAAGTGCTGGTAAAGCAGATGCCTTTTTTAATTAGAACCACGGACGGGATATACGAATAGATTTTGTATCTAACGGGATTTCGTGTCCACAGACGAGGTATATGAATAGACATTGCATGATTTCTTCGGCCACGATTTCGGGGCACTCTGTACCCCATTACCATTTTCGTGTCACATCCTGTCGTACCGATTCAGCAAGTTTTGCATCGCGAAAATCAAAAAATACGGACAATGTTGCCAGTTTGTTTCGCGAATTATTCATTGAATTGAACATGGTGGTACTTCATCAATGAAGGAATTTAAAACAGAGATTAATGAAAATTGGAATGAAAAATTTAGTATATATTTGACTATTAACAACTATTAGAAAACATTGATTGAAACATGACATTTTCATGTACGATATAATTAGACATGATGCTTTTTATTTATAAATTTGTAAATTCACAACCTGAAAGAATTATCTTTATCCCGTAAACTCGATTTTATGAAAGTTGGAACTCGTCAATAAAATATTTCTACAAATACTGTTTTCAATAAAAAGCACATTATGTGTTGTAAATTATTTTTTGCAAAATTCATCCGTTTCGAAATTTCGAAGTTTATTTATTTATTTTTTTTATACCATACATATTTTCTTTTTTTACAGTAGGAAGTCATTTATTGAGACGAACTCACTGTGTTGCATTTTCGACAGCTGAAATCATTTATTGATGGCATTGTGGGATGCAAATCACATAATACATACAATAATTCACAGTCCTACAAACGCACCCAATCAAAGATACGTTTATTGAACTTGGGACGAAATTAAGAATCTCCCTTCTCCTCTCTTCTTTCGTTCGTTGTTACTATTGTTACTGTCATTACACTAGAGTAGAGATTCCAAGTTTCGCTGTCAATGTGTGGCCTGGTCCGAAAAACATCCTGTTGTAAGTATTAATTTTATCGTTTCCAACAAAAAATCAATCGATAAATTCGTAAAACACGAATTTCGCTTTTTCTGACACAGTCATAAATACATCATAAAAAATGGAATAATTTTAAATATTAATCTGGTGTTTTGGAATCTGGAGATACAATTAAACATTTTGCTTGTATCATTTTACTTTGTGCAGTCACAGGCAAGCTTTAAATTTGACAACTCTGTAATGAGTCTCAAAGATCGTATTGCTGGTTCATTCACTAGTTTCTCAACTCACCGTTGTC